AATTTTCCCTTCTCAGGGTTATGCAGTTCAAGATTGGCGAGAGATTGTGACATACTTTTCATACCCGATCAAGGCGCGTGACTATTCTCGGTGGCCGGACAAGCCGGAGGGATGGAGATCGGTGACGGAGGCTTACAGCGAAGAGTTGATGAATTTGGCCTGCAAATTACTGGAGGTTTTATCAGAAGCAATGGATCTTGAAAAGGAAGCACTCGCCAGAGCTTGTGTTGATATGGATCAGAAGGTGGTTGTCAATTTCTATCCCAAATGTCCACAACCGGATCTCGCACTCGGACTCAAGCGGCATACGGATCCGGGTACCATTACTGTACTGCACCAGGACCAGGTTGGCGGGCTTCAAGCCACCAGGGATGGTGGCAACACATGGATTACTGTCCAGCCTGTGGAAGGAGCTTTTGTGGTTAATCTTGGTGACCATGGCCATGTAAGTATTGTCATACTCGAGTCTTTTGCTTAAACACTTGAGAGTTTTATAGAGCAAATGACAATAATCCATGCGTAATCACATGTGCAGTACCTAAGCAATGGGAGGTTTAAGAACGCAGATCACCAGGCCGTAGTGAACTCTAATTACAGCAGATTGTCAATTGCAACTTTCCAAAATCCAGCACCAGAGGCCATAGTTTACCCACTCAAGGTCCGAGAAGGGGANNNACCCACTCAAGGTCCGAGAAGGGGAGAAGCTAGTTCTCGATGAGCCCATCACGTTCTCCGAGATGTACAAGAGGAAGATGAGCAAGGATCTTGAGCTGGCCAGGCTAAAAAAATTGGCTAAGGAGAAACAGTTGCAGGAAGAGGAGCTGAAGCAGGAAACTAATGTGAAACCCAAATCTTTTGAAGAAATTTTTGCTTGAAGTTAGACAAAAATGGACAGATTTTTCTGTTCTAAATTGCTAAATCCTTGGTTATGGTAATCAAATTAGTTGTAAACACTCAGCTTCCATGTTTTGGTTGTTGGTTTGTATTATTAATATCCTTTTGTCCATTATACAATTGGATCAGTGTCACACTTGGCTTACTGCATAACAAAATTGCAATAGGTGCATAAAATACTTCTTCAAATTCGTTACCAGGAACTGATCTAAACAAGATCAACAAAGAAATATTATTCAATCCAACATACCAAACGTACAATTAAATTTTCCCGAGACTAAATTAGCCTAACCGAGCACGAATGAGTGGAAGATTGAGAATGGATCATCATTAAAAGCGACACCGATAACAGTGAACGGGGTATGCAGGTGTTGGAACACATGGAGAACTCCAATGATCACAGCGTACTGGGTATGCAGGCATCAGATCCCATGGAGAACTCGGATCACGCCGTAACGGTCGATAAGTGGGCTGCAGAACTCTAATAAGAAGCCACCTCATCTTTGGCATTAGCATGACATTGACTATCAAAAACCCCACCAGGGGTAAAAGGAAGAGAAGCAGCCTCAATCCCATCTTGATTTTT